AATGGACCGGGCGGAGCCGGGTATCCCAGCTAGTGCTATATATGCATATGTCGTTCTTCTCCTATTTTATAAGAGTTGAATGTAGCAGAAGCAGCTTACAATTAGAAAAAATCTTACATTATTAGCATGGTGAGTTGTGATCTGACAGGTTTTGCCTATCATTCAAGGTTTTTCTTGAAACTTATCGATGTTTAGTAATTTTCTGGCTGCCTTTGTGCTATTCACAAAGATTGAGACGCCACCTGTGAATGCCCTTTTTTCATCTGGCCGGATCAGTTTTGTGATACTAGACTTCACTTAAGCAGTACAACTGTATTCGAGTAAAATAAATAAGTAAATGATCATTAAATTCATTAGTAGCGCAATATGCGACTTATCTCAAGTAGCTCACTTTTTCTTTTTACAGTATGATCGTGAAATTTATGTGGCCAGGATCTGTTTCTTGTATGCTCGGTCTACATGCATTTTAGACCGTCGACACAGCCCTCATGGTAGTGGCCATATCAGAACTCAGGACCTCAAAGAAAATCAAACGTTTGGAGATCTCAACAGAGCAAAGAGAAATTCACAACATTTATTTTCTCGCTTCAAACGGTCAGATATTCTAATCTACATGATGTGGTCAGAGAAAAGTGAGACAGGCAGTGAGATTCTATTACTTTTAACTTTGCAGCACATATTGTTGGCATTGCAAGCGTAACCTGCTGGACATGCTCCCACGCAAACGCCTTAATTCATACTCCACAAAAAGAATTTGTAAATGGCTCAAATACCTATGCACTGCTGTGACGACTGCTGGTTGTATGTCACGTAACCATATCCACCTGGCTGGTAACCATACCCGTAGGGTGATTGATAACCATAACTATAGGGATACTGATAAGCGTAACCATAAGGCGTCTGATAAACGTAGCCGTAAGACTGATAACCATAGCTATAAGGTGACTGATAACCGTAGCCATAGGATGGTAGCTGGTATGGATCTCCGTAACCACCCTGTCCTTTGGGTCTCCATTTGCTTTGAGCTGCAAAATCAAAATGGTCATATCATTCACTGACCAAGTAACTTAGCCTCAAATTCAATACATGCAATTCTCTAGCAAATTAAGTAATTTGAGAAAGAAGATTTCATAACAGTACTCCATCAATGATTACTGGAACCACTTGTCTGAGTACTTTGTAGCAATTTTGTATGTAGGGATTGCAGATATAGTCTAACATTACCTCCAGCTTGCTACAACCGCATTCTTAAACAAGGAAACGAACTCACCGATGGATGAAGTAATTGAAAGACTGAGAAGTAAGAAACTTGTGAGCTTCATCAAACAAACACTCGCTGATCTGCAAACGGTTTCATTTATGAAAAATAAGGCAGATCTTTGCACGCGTAGTGATAGACAGCACTTGTTAATATTATTCATACTTAGATATACAAGTATTCATAAAAATTGTGGCTCAGGTATCTCCAAGATATAGAGCTTCTTTAACCCTTTCGGA